GAGCTCCAAAGGAATGGCAAGTCCAGTACACTGCAACTAACGCATTTTTAGCCACAAAAACGCCACATTTCGCTTTCTCCGATCCCTGGCTACTGCTTCCACTGGTGCATGTACTTCCATACTGCACACACACTTTATCGTAATCTCTCGCTTTAATCTGAAAGGTTCAGAAGAATTTGCGCCGATTTTTTTTGAGTTTGTGACTTTTTTGTTCCTCAAATATTTTTTGCTGTTCTCCTCCGCTCTCTAATTTTCCAAGCTCATTGGTCAAACTCATCAAACTGATCTCTCAGTTCAGCACTCATGCGAAAGCATCAGAATAACTAAATGCAACGAAAAACATCAATCAACAAACAAAAGCACCCCACATAAAGGAATAGGGGCACTGCAGTTCTCCTCCTCAGGTCAGGTCACCCAAAACTAAGACACCAGTCATTTGCTCGGAGCAAGCTTATAAGGGCTAAGGGCTGAAGGCTTAGGGCTAACCTAAGCCTACGCCCAATCATTAGCTTAAGCATAAGCCCAAGCCTAAGTCTAAAGCCAAGCCTAGCCTTAGGCTTCAATGATCGCGCAGCTCTGGCGATTTGACTCCAGGAGCAGAACGTCTCCCGAAAGGAATCTGCCTATGCGATGAGCTAATACAGTCATGCGGATCAACTCCTGTCAAAACCTTTCAAACCCTTCGTCTGCTCACGTGGTCAGTCACTCGATGGAACTTGTGCTTGAGATGGAGTGGAGGAACACATAGAGCAGCCAGCTTCGCAACTTACTACATATAGCATAAAGCCAGTGATTCAAACATGCCTATTATTTCAAGTGAATCCAAGAGAATGACACACACCAAGATTTCATCGGTGATGACTAAATAAAAAATGACGTGATTGTGGTTTTGAAGAGTTGTGCAGGACAGTTATGGAAAGTGGTGTTTTGAGATCTTTCTGACGAGATCTTTTCCAAAGAGATCACGAAAGTTCGTACAATGAAGGGTCACATAGGTGTCATGGTATCACCTCATGTGAATTCTTTTATAAGACCTGTTCCATTGTTTATTCTCATCTTACTAAACCAAATTACAAACACAACCTCCACAGTCAGCTGATCGAATGAGTGGCGACGATCTTTTGCGTCAATGGGTACTTCAAATAAAAAGGTACGGACACCAAGCGCACAACAAACGATAAAAAAGCCGGTAAAGGATAAAGATGTTTCAACGTTTTTTAAAGCGCGCCACGTATCCGATTTTTCTGAGGGTTGTAGCGAGAGCGAGGCACAGCCGGCGAATCTGAACACTGTTTCGGAATCCTGACACCATGCATAAGGCAGCTGCACCACTTGCCATTGTCCCATATCTCTTGACACGATTAATCCAAACTGAACCGGGTTGGCGCAAGGAAATATGCGAAGCAGTGGAATGTATAGCTGGGGAGTAAGTACACATTGTTTTCGATAGACATTTTTTTTTAATCA